GGAAAGACAAACCGCGCAAAGGTTTTCACAGGGCTTCTTAAAAATGTCCTCCCTTCAGTTTTCAATTTCTAAAACAAGGTTTCTCAAAAAAAAATTACTGACATATTAGGATCAATATAATACATATATAAAAATGAAAAGTAAAGCTCAGATGACAGCTTTTCTTCCACTCAGTATTACCCACACTGAACAGTAAGTGGGGGGCCCATATGGTTGTAAAGATGCTCTTAAATTTAATTTGATTGAGACAAAAATACAGACACCTGACAGAAACACAGAAAAGATGACAGTTGTCTGAAGAAACGATGAAGCTTCCTAACTAAGCAAAATGATTTTAATCCTCCAAAATAACTAATAATGATCCAAAATAACAGTTTGGGCTTCTAAAACATTTTCAAATTATGATCTCAAACACCTTGCAAATATTAGCAGCTTATCTTTTATTCTGTTTTATTTTATTTTTTACTTTAATAACACTCCTACAACAGTCAGCACTCCATCTAACATGAGAGAGCAGTGGCAGAACAAACTGTCGGTAAAGGTTACACAGCTAGCCCACATAGCCCAAGAGATGGTGTCAGGAACACGGGTTCCAAGTCTGTGCTGTTACCGAAGACCCAACTGCCCAGCACTCCCTACACACAATTCCAGATAAAGTGTTCGAGCGGGGAAGGAAGAGAAGTTAAGTATTCACTGACTGCATTTCGACAGCAGGTATGACTCGCTATACTGAGGGAAAACCAAAAATTTTAAAAAATCCTCAAGCCTTCCCCGTGCCGGGGAGGGTTGTTGTGAGGAGCCGCCTGTGTTTCCCCAACCCTCCCCTCCCGTTGTTCTGCAAAACCCACCACCTGACACAGCAAGTGCCTGCTGCTTCTTTAACGTCATAGCATACTACAGAAGTGGACTGGAATTGATCTCAATTAATCATTATCTAGATTGTGAAACACATAAAAATAATGCTGTACCACTACACCACTGGGTTTTTTCTAAACGTTTTCATTAAGGTTTTTCACTTCAATGGACACATCTCTTGACAACATAAAATAGCTTAGCCAATTAACTGGATGTTGAAAATTCCTAGTTAAGGTTGTGCTCTCAAAAGCGTTAATACAGTCTATTAACTGTTAGAACACCTTTTTCAAATCTGGCTTCTATTCATAATTTTCTGAGAAAGATCCTTGTTTTCTCTCTCACAACTCCTTTGCCTGTGTCCTGTATTTGGAACGTTTACTTGCCACCCCTCCTCTACCTGAAGCATTCATTTGAACATGTACATTTTTCATGCACAGTTTCATGCAAAATGAGCAATCCATACCAGTTTTGTACAAGGAAGTCAACCAGATGGAGAGAGGTTTGGTCAGCAGTCCGGACTGCTAAATGAAGTGCTGTTTCACCTGGCTCCTAAAAACACGGAAATGGAAGTTAGATTTGTGCGTCTTATTTCTTCAAAGCTTACAGTATCAGACCTACTGAGATACATGTCACTCATTCTTTTACAACAATTCTTTCAACAGAAAGATATTATTAGGAAATTGTAACAAAAACAGTTACTGCATTTCTGATCTCTAAAAGGCACCGTGTGCTTCAGAGGAAACGGGACCACGCTTTCCGAGATCATAGCTTTCTCGAAACCCGTCTTCCCTTGTTCCCAGCTGGATGGAAAGATCCTGAGGAGCCTTTAACCATTTTGGCTACGCGTAACTAAAAGGGATCCTTTCAAGAAACACTGAGTGCGTTTACACTGCTTTGACACCTTGGTGAGCATCAGGTATAGCCACTATTTCTTACAAAACCAGGGAAAAAAAAATCCACAAAAATCATAGTCCTACGCACACTAAATCTCTTACAGGATCACAGAATGGTTGAAGTTGGAAGGGACCTGTGGAGCTCATCTGGTCCAACCTCGCTGCCCAAGCAGGGCCATCTAGAGCCAACTGCCCAGGACCATGTCCAGAAGGCTTTTTGAGTATCTCCAAGGATGGAGACTCCACAGCCTCCCTGGGCAACCTGTGCCAGCGCTTGGCCACCCACACAATAATAATAATAAAAAAGTTTCCTCATGTTCAGAGGGAACCCCCGGTATTTCACTCTGTGCCCACCGCCTCTGCTCCTGTCATTGGGTACCACCGAAAAGAGCCTGGCTCCATCTCCACTGCACCCTCCCTTCAGGTATCAACAGGCATTGGTAAGATCCCCGTGAGCCTTCTCTCCTCCAGGCTGAACAGTCCCAGATCTCTCAGCCTTTTCTCATACAGCAGGTGCTCCAGACTCTTAAAACACCTTTGAGGCCCTTCGTTGCACTCTCTCCAGTACATCCAAGTCTCTCTTGTACTGGTGAGCCCAGAACTGGACACAGTACTCCAGCTGTGGCCTCACCAGCGCTAAGTAGAAGGGAAGGATCGCTTCCTTCAACCTGCTGGCAATACTTTGCCTAGTGCAGCCTGGGACACCACTGGCCGCCTTTGCTACGAGGGCACGCTGCTGGCTCACGTTCAACTCGGTGTTCACCAGGACCCCCACGTCTTTTTCTGCAAAGCTGCTTTCCAGCTGGGCAGGTCCCAGCATCTATGGGTGCATGGCATTATTTCTCGTCAGATACAGGGCTTCTCCTTGCTGAATTTACACTGAATCGTACTTTATTTTCTATACATGTAACATAGGCATTAATGCATTTAAATGCAAATATAAATGCTGTTTAAGTCAGTTTAGAAGTTACATGAGAAACTAACCTAAAACATTAACTCCTATTGATCATAAAGGGAATTTATGAAAAAGTATATTACAGTACATACATTTAAAAGTCACAACTTTAAAAAAAAAAGAACTTATTAAACACCTGAGACTTCAGAGTGGAGAATGCTGCTCTAACGCAGACTACATTTCAACTGGTGTTCAGACCTTTCTAAGTATCACTGACTGTAATAGCTCAGAAATGCTACGGAGCTAATTCTGTGCTAACTACTATGGCTGACAAATATAGGGAGTTCACCTTGTAGTTAGAGAATCTGTAATGTATTTCCATGATAAGCACTCTGCGATATCTCAAGAGCTGAATCTATATTGAACTTACTCCCTTCACTCGATACAGACAGGCACTCTGTCCTTTGCCAGGTTAGCCATTTTCACAGAACTTGAAAACATTCTCTGAGATCTCTCCAAGTTGGATCAAAAGTAACGAGAGAAAACATGGCCCACCAAACGGTTACACAGCATCAATTACGTATAAATACAGCTTACGTTGCTCTCGAGCAGTATTTCTATGTGGATACTTGAGGTCAACCTGGACTGATTTTTCCAAAGAACTGTTCCTGAATTCAGAGGGAAGATCAAGTACTCAGAACTTGATTGAAAAAAGAAAAAAAATAATCTCTTCCTGGTTGAAAGAAATTGTACTTTTGTAAATGTTTCATCAGCACCTGTAAAGGCATCAGATTTACTCTTTCCTCACACAGAGTAAACAGAAACTCGCCTACAGTCAATAACGTGCTCCTTCAGCAACTGCTTTAAAAGCAGATAGGGAACTGTCTGTGACAGCAGGTGACCCCGGGGTTATCAAGTCAAGCCCTCTCTCTTCAGGCCTTTTCCTAAAAGAAATACACTGCAAACCCAGTGCTTTTCAATATACTGTAGCTGCACCTGGAACTGGGTAAGACAGTACTACTGCATTTCACACTCCTTCAGACCAACTGAGGACAGCAGACACGGCCTTCTTTTCCCTCCCCACAAGGCTGCCACATTAAGGAAAGGAAGAAAAAAAAAATCTCCCTTTTTCATCTGTTATTTCTCTTGTTTTACACTAAGGTAGCAGCCCTGGCTCCTGGACATTTTACAAATACACGTTATTTAAAATACTCTGCTTCGTTTACCTGATGAGCTTACCTGTCCAGGCTCTAACAGTGGCTCCATTAGCTCTACCCCCTCTGCATAGACTTGAATTAGTGCAAGTAAATCCCTGGATTTGACAGCCTCAAGTAATTCATTCAGTTTAGCTGCTGCAGACGCACAAGTCTTCCTAGAGAACTTATGATCTACATATTTAGCAGTGATAAATTCTTTACGTGCAGTCCTGTGGGGTGTGAAAACAGAGCTTGGTTTAGAAATTTTTAGAAAAATGGGTCAACGATTTAAATGTAAAATCACCTTGCCTAACTCAGGAGTTGAGAAGGGAAGAGGAAAACTATCTGATAAAGACTGTGTTATTTATTATTGTAATGCACATCTTTCTTGCAAACAAGCACGAAATAAGGTACATTGGTACATATTCAATTTTATCCTGCTTTCTTGTTGAGTATGAGAATGACTCTGACTGTGGGGACTAAGACCAAAAAAAACCCCACAGCCTGAAATGTGATTACTTGTGGAAACATATCTACCTGTTAAAAACAGCATAAGCATGAAAAACATGCTGAAAACAGGACAAAAGAAAAGCTACTGAGTCAGCTAGAAAACAGCAGGATAGGTTAAATGGTCTCCTGTGTCAAGCCTCATCTGTTATGCTCTCTGTGCAACGCCTACAGCAGGGAAAGGAAGAAAAAGCTCATGACCATCTCAAGACACTACTGAAAGCTAAGGTCATTTAGTCCCACTGTGTTTATGACCTGAGAGTGTACTACAAAACTCTTAAAACATTCCAGATTCAAAATAATGACTCTTGAAACCCAAACAAAGTTTTCTACATTAAGAAGCTGAGGTAGCTAAAATGTGACTACATGACAAGAGACTGAACTTCTAAGAAGCTCCACAGTTGGAGCAAAAAACCCCAGTCTTCTACCATCCTAGCCCTCCTCTGGTTTGGTTACCGTTTAAGACGTTTTACATTACATATATGTTACACAGTAAACATTGCTAAAGAATTTAGAGATTCAAAACTTACATATCGCTTGATGGACCGGGTTTAGGTGAAGGACTAGGTAAATTCCCTTCCATAATATCGTTAAAACTAGTATTGCCTACGTTCTTGGCCAGCTGCAATAAGAAAACAAAGTATGCATGAAGGTGGGGGTTTTGGGGGTCTAACAGCAGCCTAAAACCTGTGCATTTTCTACATTATCACTGTAACTACGTTAAACCTATCCACAAACCCAGAACTGCCTTCTATCTTCTCTCAACTTTCCCTTACAAAATTTCTGTAACAAAGCGTCTTCTCACAGGCCAAACACAGTTGGGGAGATAAACCTGTTGTAACTGGGGGGAATTTTTGTTTGTACACCCCCCCCCCCCCCCCCCTTTTTTTTTCGTAGTAGTCTCACATCAAATTCCTTTCATAAGTTTAATGTTACAGGATTTCTTCCATCAAATTAAAAGATTCATCCAACATTTTTCTATCAAAATTAGCAATGGTCGTTCTCACTTGTCAAGTTAAATTACCTTTCTTTTTTTTTTTTTAATGACATGAGATTGTAGACTGTTCTGATTTAGGATCAAGATCATCTAACAACGGGCAACATTCTGACAGGGGCACTAATCGCAACAGATGCCAATATTCATTCTGCAATACCTCGGCAAATGAACACAAGAAGTGACGAGCAGCCAAAAGCGTCAATAATACATAATATTAAAAACCCTCCTGTAACATACATAAAAAACCATGAAGAAGGCATTCTGCAAAACCCATACCTTGAAAAAAACTAACCGTAAATTATACCCCTGAAAGTTTCCTATACACAAGTCAACATCTGACTAAAAACCCCAATCCAAATCAAAGAAGCTTACCAAGAGTTCAGACGTTCCTAATTTGTCTAATTCCAAAGACTGGATTCGAGAAATATGGACACCCATTTCTCTGTGTATTCCTGAACACTCAATGCAGGTTAAAATGCCCAGATTAGTGGATAGCCATGTTGGATCTGCAGAATTGAAACACAAAATATTTAACCAAAGTCCAAGAAAAGGTTTTCAGTGGTGCTAAGAAATCCCGATGTACTCTGAAATGAACCCTCATTTAACGTTTTAGCGAATGGAAATAAACTAAGAATATTCCATATTTTTCTCCAAACAGCAGTGCAAATTTAACCACAAATTGCTACCAACAAAATTAAGTTTTTCAGATTTAGGGACAGTCCCAAAGGCACCGAATTTAGACTTATAAATATTATATCCATACTGAATAACGGTATTTGAATATATTTAGGATTTGTTTCTTGTAGAAAGAAAGTAAGGCTTTTCTTTCCTGTTTTTAAAAGGAACGGATCTCCTAAATTCACCTGTTGACAACCTCTGAAGTTTTAATCTTTACTTCTTGAACTTTAAATAGTCTTTCTTCATAAAAGATTAGCCATATAATTTTCTAACATATAAAATAGTAGTATGTTGTGGAAAATTTAAAGAACACTGGCTAGTCATGGAGGAGATAGGCATGTAATATCCAAATAGATCTTATACTATGAATGTTACCTAAGAAGCAAGACCAGTTTTTAAAGAAAAAGCTCCAGACATATTTTGTGTACAAACATGTCTTCAAATTAATCTTTTCCTTGATCTTAAATAGTAACCATTAAAGCATTAAGTCAAGAGTTTTAAAGCAGCAAGCTGGGGTGCAGGAGTGCAGCTTAAAACTTCTCTATAAATTAAAAGATGAATGAGAACTGTAATCCGAAGTTTCTGTAGCTTGAGAAAATCGAATGAGCCAGTTCCAGGATTTGACATAATTATATTCCACTTCGTATTTTTATCTAGGTATTTCTTGTTTGGATCAGTTCTGCATCAGTAAGTAACTCCAAGATACATACTATCTACTCAGCTCCAAATGAGTACCACCTTCTTGAAGGGTCTCTTTAAACGTGAAAGCTGTAACAGCTGCCAACTACCACATCGATTCAGTAGTTCTACGACAAGGTGACTTTTCTCAAGCTCTAAGCGACCTACAACTGACCTGTAACTCTACTTCTGAAGATATAATCTGATAGGTTTCCAGCTCTGGGTCTCATTCTTTGCACAAGACTACTTATTCCACCTCTGAGTACTTTTGATACTGCAATTCCAGTAGTCTCATGCCAAGATAAAACCTCAGAGTGAGATCCTGGCCAGGTCAATTTTTCCACAATCATTGTCTAAGCATTACTCACTTCTACTTAGTAGCATGCACAGGATCAGTGATGCCAAGCAACTTCCATTCAAGTGCAACAAGCATCTAGAGACAGTGCAACAAGAACAGTTCAAACTCCAGAGGGGCTTGAACTGCTGGAAGTAAGCACAGACAACACACAAAAATATTTTAGTGAATTAAACGGAACTAACGTATGAAAGTCATTATTTGTTCTTTTGAAAACAGGTTGAAGACTGATCAACACAGCGCTTAGGAAATCAGTTTGCACTCTACCAACACTTCTTTAAAGAAATTACTTTGCTCCCAACAAGAAGTTGATGACATGAACAAATTGAGATACCTGGTGAGCCACAATCACAACAGACTTCATTTCCGGGTAATCTCTGTATGTCATCAATAATGGCTTTTGTCAGATCCTCTAAACTGTTTTCCCCTGTGCTCTGCTCTCCACGGAATGCCATATTTAATGCTTCTTCTTTGCTGTTAGTCAATACTGATATCCATCTAGCACAAGATAAAGACCTTAATGAAGACCTGCATTTGCAAATACAAGTTAATCTATAAACTGTAGAAAGCTTGCAAGGAACAAAATATTAGTGGGAATACGGCGAAGGGCTGTATTGTGGGAGAAGATTGAGTGGGGGGAAAGTGGGAGACAGACAGGAAACATTTGAGACAAGGTAAGTAAGAATGAGAAAGACAAAGAGAAAAAGTCTTCATTCCAAAGTCCCTTTGGTGACCAATTTTAAAGCTAAAGCAGTACAATTCCCAGGTTCCTCAAATAAGCAGAAGCTGTGGAAGAGAAAGGGTGCAATTACGCTTCTGTAAATTCAACTGCTTTAAAAGTAGGTGCCCAAGCTCTGCCTGAAGTCTACCCCATTATTAAAGGAGAAAATGATAACTGCTACTTTCTCCAGCGTGCACCGCTCTCTTCATTTCGAACGTGCTGACGTCTAGTTGCCTTTCAAACTGCAGGTCTCGGCACACTAATCAGAGTGTCCTGGGTTACAGTGTAAAATGT